ACAGCACGGTCACATGACTTCACGTCACCACCGCTAAGCTAAAGGAGGCTAATGTTGGGCTATAGAGTGGTGAAGTCCCTCCCCTTCCGGTGGACCTCCATGGGACCTTATTTCGGAAAAATTATGTATTGAAGTCAATGGAGAGAGAAAGATTATCTTTCGATCCCGTTTGAATTGTGCCACGAATTACACATATAATGTTTGTCAATTTAAAAGATAATTTTGCGAGTCAAAAAAAAAAAGATGTGTCGTAAAACTGGGAAGTAACACATTTGTTTGTGTGAAACGCTCAATGAACTACATCTCTGGTCAACAACACACGTCACCAAGATGGCCGTCACTACTGTCTTGTCAACACAAGAGACTACCCTCACTATCACCACAATGAAACACGTCCTGAAGAATGTCATGCAAAGCTGCCTGCCTGCCTTCCTTTGATTCTCTCTGAACTGCCTGGTCGTTTTAATGTTTAATGTCAACCATTTGTGCAGATAGCATGAAGTAGAGAAGATCGCTAGCGTTAGCGTTAGCATTTCTCCCCCGGGCTTAAATTGTGTATTATAGAATGACCACACCGGTGACAGTACTCTTCAAAGGGTTCACGAAATATGACTACTACTCTTACTGTTTAACATTTTGGGTTACTTAATGTTACTTCATGTTAAGGCTAATACAAATGACAAGGCTGTAATGCTAACTAACGTGCTAGCTACTAGCTAGGTAGCTAACTTGATCAAGCCACTCCTGGTCCTTTCATCAGACGGGAAGCAAAACAACGAGCAAGACCCATTGCTGGTATAATAACAACCTGGTACTAAGCACACAGGCATCTTGTTAAAGTTATCTTATCTTTGCCAGCGCCATATAGATAGATTATATCTATATGGCGTTATCTTATCTTGGCTATCTCTATTTTAGTGGAGGAAAACAATTGTGACATCACTCTGGGATTTGTAGTCTTTCTAGTTGCGTATTTTTCATAGTCTTATATTTCAACAGTTTTACGACAAACTGTGACTTTTTTGACATGGAAATGATTTTTTAAGATTGACAAACATCATATGTGTAATTCATGGCACAATTCAAACGGGATCGAAAGATACGTTTTCTCTCTCCATTGACTTCAAGACATTATTTTTCCGAAATAAGGTCCCATGGACCGGAAGTAGATGGGCGTGACTTCGCCACTCTATTAAGGAACTTCAGCACGGTCACATGACTTCACGTCACCACCGCTAAGCTAAAGGTGGCTAATGTTGGGCTATAAAGAAACTACAGCACGATGACTTCACGTCACCACCGCTAAGCTCATTCCTGTTCCACTTTATCAGCCATGCCTACAGGAGGATTTGGGGTTTAATATCTTGCCCAAGGACACTTTGACATGCTGTTTAAACCACTAACCTTCAGATTGGTAGACATAAATATCTATCTCTGTGTCCTGAGCCTCAGTCGCCCCACTTCAGTGCTTCTTGTTACCGAAACATCTCTTTACATTACAGTTGTGTTGCCCAATGGAAATACAGGCATGTGCATAAACACAGAGCATAAACCTGACGTTGAGGAGACAGGTGTCTGACTGTTGTGATCAACACATTCCACTGTTTTCATTTAAGTTGGTGGCACCAGGAGATCTTAAATTCATAGGAAACTGGGAGCCAGGTGTCTGCCTCTGTGTGCTCAGAGTGGACTGTCATCTGAAGGTCAACATTTGGAGAAAACTCAGCCCTTGTGCTTCATCTTTTTTAGTTTCCCAGGTGCGTGTGTGTGTGTGTGTGTGTGTGTGTGTGTGTGTGTGTGTGTGTGTGTGTGTGTGTGTGTGTGTGTGTGTGTGTGTGTGTGTGTGTGTGTGTGTGTGTGTGTGTGTGTGTGTGTGTGGATGCCAGAAGGGGAGGTGTACAAGGGGAGGGGCTCCACAGGGTGGGCAGCAGCACAGGGACCTGGTGTAGAGTGGAGATTGGGGTCAGACAGGTTGAAGGAACCGACCATGTCGCTTTATACGCCCCAGCAGTCAGCTCGATGGAGCGTGCAAATCATCAACAGAGACCTTTAGCATCTCAACGCCCCCCCCTCCACCTTTCTCACCTGATGCACACACACACACACACTCACACAGTCCTTTCAACTAATACATGACAAATGAGTAATAACCGTGGCCCCTAACTCTGCGCCTTCAGAACGCGCCGCCCTTACCCTTTAATCTGTCCTCTCCACTGCTGTGACTTGTTGCCACCAAAATTGAAATCTTAACCTTTCTCACAGCTTAGACTTTTGTCACAGTTTGAAGGTGCTCAGAGGAAAGGTGTCTGTATTTGTTTTTCTAAACTCTCCTTTCGTGTCCTCCTCTCTCCTTCACTCTGTCCTTTCCTTTCATCTCGTCATCCAGAACATAACAGCTCATTATATCATTTAGTCAAGCTGAGAATCGTCTTCTCCGAAACAGCGGGGACAACCTCCATCGCGTGTCTGTCTTCTCCTCGTCCTCTAATCATTAACACCA